GCAAGCTGGATTTGGCTTGCTAATTATAGTCTGCTGACTCCTATATTAGACTCTCAGATATTTATTAAATAATTGGACTTCTTGCATATTAAATGACAACAGAATAGCCAACTAGGCAATAGATGAGTTGAAAATATGGCACTGAAAGAGAAGCCAGAGATTAAAGGCTAGTAGTGTATAAGTATTAGCTGATGTTATAGTATTTATGAGATCACCAAAGGACTGGTATTAAGGGTAGTTGTGTGTATGTATGTGTATATTTTTTAATGCCTAAGATACAGAAAAGGTAGATTTTGAGTAGTAATCCTTAGGGGAGGGAATACTTGTTGTTTATCCTGTTATGCTTACATAAGCAATAACTGTTCATTAAATGTTTTTTGAAGGAAAGTAATTAATTAACAGCAGGTCTTTTTCAATTATATGGTTAGGAGATAGTCTCAGATTTATAGAAGAATTCTGTTTAAAAAGTTTATTTGAGAATAGGGTATTTGAAACTTAGAGCAAATTTCTTTGTAGACAATGTGATATATAATGTTCAGTTCCCAAGCTAATATGTAAAGCTCAAGTTGATCCATAATGTATTTGAAGTACAATGTTTTAACAGTTCTGTTCAAACTACTCCAGCCAATGTTTTTCTTTAGAAAATTATGTTCAGAATTAGTTTTGGGTCACCAGAAATACATTTTTACCTATTATAGCCTTAGTAGTAACGTCAAGATTTCGCATCCCTCACTTGTAAGGGTAGAGGAAATGGTACTGTCCCAGTCCCAAGCCATTGCTGTTGTTTTTTGTAGACTCAAAGATTCAGAGTGGGACTATATGTGGATGAAAGTTAAGTGGTGAAGAATAGAAAATGGGCCTCTGGGGAAACTAGAAATAGGGAGATATGGAGAATAGAGCCCTAGGGACAGTTATCATTCTCCAGACAACTCTCTAGGTTCTGCCTATTTTTCTCCCTTATAGGGTCCCAAATATTAGTTAGAGTATCTCTCTTGGCCAATTACGGAATAGAACCTTATCTTGTACCTGCCCACTTACTCTTCTGTACTTGATCACTTAATCTTCTTTCCCTGAAGTAAGCACAAATCATTCCTTTTTTCTCATTTAAAAATAAGTATTGCTCAGTTATTATATGCCACCACTAAGGAATATGTAGATGATAAAACCTAAAATGTACCTCATTATTAAGTTTAGAGATCCTGGGTTGATATTTACGGATTCTTTTCTTTTGGTAATGAATATAGAAAAGATCCCTTTCCACCTTCTTTCCTTCCCTCCCTGTTTGCTTCCCTCCCTTCCTCTCTCCCTCCCTCCTTTTCTTTCATCTTTCTTCTTTCCTTCCACTTAGATAGAACTAATTGGGAAAGAAAGTCTCAAATGACAGTGGTGGGTCTTTGGATTAGAAAGACAGTAAGATTCTTCTATATTTAAAGAAAAAAACTCTTCATATGGACATTTGTCTCAGGTCTATCTACTCTTAAAGTAGTTCTTTTAAATTACTCCACAGGCTATATGGTTCTGTAATGGGTAATCTAGTACTGTTTCCATTAACATATCTCTAAGAATGTAGGAGTACTGTACTTCATGTGTTCTGCTTTTATAGATTCATAATTAGTCATAATTCTAACTTATTAGAGAACATAATAGATATGTGTGATTTAAACATATAATTTCTAGAATAAGTTGCATTTCATATTATTTAGAAACTGTCATTTTTGTCTTTGAAATCTGTAACATTATAATTGTTGGTATTTTCATATGTAGC